TCAGGTGCTGCCTGAGGCAAAGGATCCGGTGCAAACTGAGACTCCTCTGGTTCCGAGTCCGAGTCCCAGGCCATCGCACCAACCAGATGCCCCAATGGGAGACCCCAAAGCAGGATCTGAGCACAAGAGCAGCTTTCCCCTCCTGCGGTTTCCAGAAACTGGTATTCAGAAGCATGGCTGCCTCCATCTGTGGACACAGAGCAGAGCCATCATGGCTGATAGCCATCAGTAACCCATGAACTTGTCTAATCGTCTATTAAAGCCATTTGCTGGCCACCACGGCCTCCTGCAGGAGCACGTTTCATAGTTGATCTATTTCATAACCCACAAGTGTCCTGATTTAACCGGGACATCCCAGATTGGCAGAACCCGCCCCTGCTTATGATCCTAGTCCTGGATGTCCCAGTTTTGGCTCCCATAGTCTGGCCGTACCAGAGCTTGGGACCCAAAGACAGACTGTTTTTGGTTCCATGCTGTGGTGTGAGTCAAATGGCTCACACGAGAGCACAGGACCCCAAAAAAGGAAGGAAAATTTACCTTCGCCCTGAGTGTCACCACTTCACTTCCTCCTTCCGATGCAGCACTTCAGGAAGGAAGTACATCTGCGGCGCCAGAGGAGGAGGTTGGTCTGGTCCCTGCAGCATCTCCTGATGCTTCGCAGGCTGGGGCGACCTTCCAGCAGGCTGCTCTGAGCTGTGCAGTGCCACTGGATGCTGCAGAGCAGGAGGTGAAGTGTCAGGAATCCAGGTTCCCAGCTTGAAAACACAGTAAGTGTAGGTAATTAAAAAGGAGGATTTATTTCAAAAACAGATAGCTCTGGACAGCTCTAACAAAGCCTCCTGCATTATTACTCAGGATGACCCTTCTGAAGACTCCTTCCGGCGTCAACAGAAGAACTTACGACCCTTATGTCCCTTGTTTTGCTTCCTATCTTGCAGCCTTCCCATTCACTGACTCTTTGGACTTAGTGGATCAGCTCCAACCTCTTCCTTTTCTGAGAGGCTGTCTCTGAGTTTGTTTGTGCCTGTTTGTGCTTCCTGTGAGCTTTGGCTGTGTTCTAGCCTGCTCTCAGCTACTCCCTTATCAGCCTGCCCATCAAGGTCAAGAAGAGCCAAAGACTGCAGCTGCCAGCTCTCCCCTGCCTGACTAACATCAAAGCTTCTCTGTTCCTGGCTGCTTTCTGCTGTTGGCTGCAAACCTTTGCTTGAAGCTGGCTCATTCCTGACACGAAGACAGCAAGCAAAGGAAGAGAGGGGAGGGAGAGAAAGGGGGGCGAGCAGGTTGCTTCTGCGAGCAGGTGAGCAAGGAAGGAGTCGGCAGCAGAGAGGGGGCGAGTGACGAGATTGGTGGGACTGCCTCAAATTTTCCTAAAAGAATGTTGCAGGGTATGCTATGTGCTGCGTGAAGAAGTCCTTTATACCTGCCCTGAATTTTCCAGTGTAAAGTTGAGAAGTAAGTGTAAAGATGAAGAAAGGTCACAGTATTTAGAGAAAACGTGACTTAAAGGCAAGATAAGTTTAGACAATGATGCATGGCATGAAGAAAAAGGTAAAAGGTAAAGGGACCCCTGACTATTAGGTCCAGTCGTGACCGACTCTGGGGTTGCGATGCTCATCTCGCTTTATTGGCCGAGGGAGCCAGCATACAGCTTCCGGGTCACGTGGCCAGCATGACTAAGCCACTTCTGGCGAACCAGAGCAGCACACGGAAACGCCATTTACCTTCCCGCCAGAGCGGTACCTATTTATCTACTTGCACTTTGTGCTTTCGAACTGCTAGGTTGGCAGGAGCAGGGACCGAGCAACGGGAGCTCACCCCGTCACGGGGATTCAAACCGTCAGCCTTCCGATCGGCAACTCCTAGGCTCTGTGGTTTAACCCACAGTGCCACCCGCGTCCCCTGGCAGGAAGAAAGTGGATAGCAATTTTCTCTCCTCCCTCTTTCTTAACACTAGAACTCGTGGACATCCAATGAAGTCAAATGTTTAGAGATTCAGGACAGACACAGACACAGGAGCCATTGGCCTCATCCAACAGCCTCTTCCTTATGTGTCCCCAAATCGCACCTCCCATTTCAAAGGCTTGCTCTTCAGTGATGTCATCAGCTGGCTCCAAGGGACACACTCCAGGCTCTGACCTCCTCAGAAGCAACTCTCCCACCATTCTTGGCAGCGGAGTCCCAGCTGTCTTCTGTACTGGAGAAGCCCAGCAGCTCCCTGAGATCTAAGGTTCTGTGACAGGATGATTTATGACTTCTGGAACCAGAGCCACTCTGAGGATACGGATCTGGTTTCCTGGAATGCTTGCAACATGTGGCATGGTGACGTTATGCTCGCTGTGTGTGAGAGGTGTGAGAAGGAAGACGATGCTTCACGCGTCTTGTGGAAGAGCTACCAGCGCCTTCCATCCCATCCCTTGTTCTTTATAACAACGGGAGCGATAAGTGCAGTCAACACCGCTCTACACCCGAGGATGCTTTTATTTTCTGCTCCTGTTCAAGATCACCTTTGCTTCCAGATATATATATGTCAGATCGTGAAGCTGAGGCTCCAATACTTGGGCCATCTCATGAGAAGAGAAGACTCCCAGGAAAAGACCCTGATGTTGGGAAAGATGGAGGACACAAGGAGACTTGTGCTGCAGTCTGCAGCTGCGTGCTGCATGTTGCCCTGCAACCAGTCATATAATCATAGAATCATAGAGTTGGAAGAGACCCCAAGGGCCATCGAGTCCAACCCCCTGCCAAGCAGGAAACACCATCAGAGCACTCCTGACATATGGTTGTCAAGCCTCTGCTTAAAGACCTCCAAAGAAGGAGACTCCACCACACTCCTTGGCAGCAGAATGTAGGCACCCTATATATAGAAAGGAGCAAACCAGTGATATTTTAGGGAGCAGGCTAGCAGGCAGGTCCCATGACTTACATCATAGAAGCCTACACAACACAAAACACTGTTTCTGTATGTAGGTTTTATTTCATTTGTTTTTTATCTTATATTTTCAAAAGGTACATCCAGTTATTTATTTCCTTTAACTTTTTTGGGGGGGGGCCTAAGAGATTGGGGCCCTGAGCTATAGCTTGTTGAGCTTATACATAAATGCGGCGCTGATGTGACTGTACGCTGGCATGGCACATGTACAAGTGTTTTTTTAAAAAAATTAAAAGAATGTACCACATATGACCTTGTGGGAGGGGCCAATCTTTCTCACACAATTAGTACCCAGCTGGGAAGGATGTTATCAATTTAAGAGGGAAAGATTCTCCCAACAGACTCGAACCCACCCAGAGACTGGCTCCAGGGGTGGCCAAACTCTTCGGGTCCATGAGCACATTTGCAGAGTGGAGGAACTGTCATGAGTGCCACACGCAGGCCACAACCACATAAACATGGCCTGCTAGCACATGGATGTGCATTCACACCTAAGGCTTGGAACAAGTGGGTTGTTGTTTTTTGCCTTTTTCAGACAAGGTGGGGCCTGGGTTCTGCATTATAAACCTATGCATTATGCACACATACTGCCTTCTGGAGGTGTTTTTTTTTTTTGCAAATATCCTATTTGCAGAAGCACTTCCTCTAAGTGAAAAGCTTGCAAAGAGCTACATTCCCCCACTTGGGCATGTGTGTGGCTTGTTGCAACATGTCCTAGCACCAGTATTCGACATGCGTAGAATCCTAGCTCCTTGGAACAAGAGCAGATTGATGCTGACGTCAGCTGCTGCTGCTGAGATGGGCCTGTCATCACCCCGGGTCTTCCTGTGAGCCATGAGGGCTCTCCCTGCACACCAGATGTTGGGGCAAGAAGGCACATTGGGAGCAGCTTGCCATCAAGGGAGCTGCTGCGGTTAGAGGATTCACCACCAGCTCTGGTTTTCATCTTCGCGGGAAACAGCGGCTTCTCTAATCACAACCGTGGGTCCCTTTTCATTCTCATGAGGCCCAGACATTGCCATGGGAGAGTGACAGCAGGCCATGAGAGCTTCAGAGGATCCTGCTGCGTGAGGCCAATGGCCTATCTCAGTGGATTTCAACCAGGTTAAGGCATAGGACCCCTGGATGGTTAAGTCCAGTCAAAGGTGACTATGGTGTTGCAGCGCTCATTTCGCTTTCAGGCTGAGGGAGCTGACGTTTGTCCACAGACAGCTTTCCGGGTCATGTGGCCAGCAGGACTAAACTGCTTCTGGTGCAACAGAACACTGTGAAGGAAGCCACAACCACGGAAATGCTGTTTACTTTCCCGCCACAGCGGTACCTATTTATCTGCTGGCACCGGCGTACTTTTGAATTGCTAGGTTGGCAGGAGTATGCAGAACTGGTGAAGCTGACCGGGAAAATCCAAAACCAGCAAGACCGGTCTTTCCAAAAAGATTGTAGTAAATTTGTAACATACTTGAAGGATAGTTGTAAACAGCTACTGACACTAGCAGGGTTGATTTAACAAAACTTGCAATGTGAATGATTATGACTGATTTACATATACTTAAATTTAGTGACAATGGGAATGAATGAATAGTAAATTGGAAAAGGTAGAAATGCTATGAAATTGTATGGCAGTTTGGAAACCACGAGACGGGCGAGAGGGATATCGATGCTCAATGGAGCGAATGCTAAGTAAATAACAACAATGTATGTATGTAAAAAGGGACGCTGGTGGCGCTGTGATCTAAACCACTAAGCCTAGGACTTGCCGATCAGAAGGTTGGCAATTCAAATCCCCGCGACGGGGTGAGCTCCCTTTGCTCGGTCCCTGCTCCTGCCAACTTAGCAGTTCGAAAGCACGTCAAAGTGCAAGTAGATAAACAGGTACTGCTCCGGTGGGAAGGTAAACGGCGTTTCCGTGCGCTGCTCTGGTTCGCCAGAAGCGGCTTAGTCCTGCTGGCCACATGACCCAGAAGCCGTACGCCGGCTCCCTTGGCCAGTAAAGCGAGATGAGCACCGCAAACCCAGAGTCATCTGCAACTTTACCTTTACTTTACCTTTTTATGTATGTAAAGTAAAAATATGGAAACTCATATATACATATATATATACATATACATATATATATATATATATATATATATATATATATATGACTTCTCCTTTCCTGTGGTTTCTAACAGCTGCAATTCAAAAGCATTGCTGGTAGCCATCAATAGCCCTCTTCTCCATGAATTTGACTTATCCACTTTTCAAGCCACCTAGCTTGGTGGTCATTCCTGCCTCCTGTGATGTGGTTGGAGCGGTTCTCCTATGAGGAAAGGTTGCATCATTCAGGACTTTTTATTTTAGGGGGAAAGCAAGTAATGATAGAAGTTTGTAAAATTATGCATGGCTTGAAGAAAGGGGATAGAGACAAGTTTCCTTCTTTCTCTCACAACATGAGAGAAAGAAGGTTCTTTTTTATCATATGTGGTGGTCTTGCAGTAAGGCTAAAGCTTACTGGGAAATGATATATAATGAAATGAAAAGGATGTTTAAACTAACCTTTGTCAAAAAAAAGCAGAAGTTTTTCTTTGGGGAATTATAGGGACAGAACTACCTAAAATGTATGCGACTACAGCGGCAAGAATGTTACTTCCCCAAATATGGAAAGAAGAAGAAGTCCCAGCAAAGGAAGAATGGATACAAACACTTATGGAATATGCAGAAATGACGAAACTTAGTGGAAGAATAAGAAATCAAGATAACATTTTTTTAATAAAAGAATGGAAATGGTTTATTAAATATTTACATATAAATTATAAACAGATAAAAACATTGGCAGGATTATTGTAACAATCTGCAGTTTTATAAGAGTATTTAAAGAAGATGACTAAATGAGCAAATTAAGTTAGTTTGGATATACAGAAGATATTAAAAACAAATTCAAGGAACCGCAGAAAGAGGAGGAAGGAAGTCAAGTTTTGAAATGTCAAAATGATGGTAAAACTAGTGAAATGTATGAAATTAATGAAGTGCATAAGTAAGTAAGTAAACAAGCAAACAAACAAACAAACAAAAGGGAAAAAATAAGTTCTCACATAACAGGAGAACTTGTGGACATCCATTAAAGCTGAATATTGAAAGATCCAGGACAGGTAAGAGAAAATATTTCGTCATGTAGTACAGTGGTACCTCGGGTTACATATGCTTCAGGTTACATACTCTTCAGGTTACAGACTCCGCTAACCCAGAAATAGTGCTTCAGGTTAAGAACTTTGTTTCAGGATAAGAACAGAAATCGTGCTCCGGCGGCGCAGCAGCAGCAGGAGGCCCCATCAGCTAAAGTGGTGCCACTGTACAGAGTTAAACCAAGAAGAAGAAGAAGAAGAAGAAGAAGAAGAAGAAGAGAAGGAGGAGTTTGGATTTGATATCCCGCCTTTCACTCCCTTTAAGGAGTCTCAAAGTGGCTAACAATCTCCTTTCCCTTCCTCCCCCACAACAAACACTCTGTGAGGTGAGTGAGGCTGAGAGACTTCAAAGAAGTGTGACTGGCCCAAGGTCACCCAGCAGCTGCATGTGGAGGAGCGGAGACGCGAACCCGGTTCCCCAGATTAGGAGTCTACCGCTCTTAACCACTACACCACACTGGCTCTCACACCACACTGGCTCTCTCACACATGGATCTTTCTTCCACAGAAGGAAGTGACGGGCACCAAGCTGGGGGACTTTAAAAGAGGATTTGACAAATTCATGGAGAAGGCCATGGCTGGCTACTAGTTTCTTTTTTAAATCAATTTTATTAAAGGTTTTCAACCCAATGTACCATAAAATTCCAACTAAACCAAGGAGAATAATAAAAAAGTGATATATCAAACAGGGGAAAAATGAAAAAGAATATAAAACACATTAATAATCCTCATATGATCCTCATAAGGCACAAAATTATATCTATGTCACACTCAGTCACTATTTTACTTTAATCTTCACACACAGAGAGAGTTGAATCTTCCCACATCCCACCTGGGAGAGCTTTCTCTTCCTCAGTCTCCCACCTTGACAGAAATCACTCTGACCTAGCTCTCATACAGACCCTTTCCCTTTCAGTTCACTGTATGTATCTTCATTTATCACAAATATAAATTTTCAGATGTTCAGACATGCATTTAGTTAAAGCTACTTGAGAGCCACCCAAAATCAAACGTCATAGAAGATACCCAGTCTGAAAATGATGGCTACTAGTTTCGATAGCTCAGCTCTGCGTTCACGTTTGCCGGCAGCAATACCAATTCTGAACACCAGCTCCTGGAAAGCTCAGGAGGGGAGATCTCCAGGCATCAGGTTCCATAGGCATCTGGTCATGGGGACAGGATGCTGAGGAAGATGGGCCATTGGCCTGATCCTGCATGCTTTTCTTAGGTCCTTATGTGATCCAACCAGCCTTTGGGAAACATTTAGCCTAGCAAGAATCTGGGATGTTCAAACTTCAAACTCTCTCCTTGAATGGCAGGCAGATCTCTGAGGTTCACCATGCTGTTGTTGTTGAGTCGTTTAGTCGTGTCCGACTCTTCGTGACCCCCTGGACCAGAGCACGCCAGGCACTCCTGTCTTCCACTGCCTCCCGCAGTTTGGTCAAACTCACACTGGTAGCTTCGAGAACACTGTCCAACCATCTCGTCCTCTGTTTTCCCCTTCTCCTTGTGCCCTCCATCTTTCCCAACATCAGGGTCTTTTCCAGGGAGTCTTCTCTTCTCATGAGGCGGCCAAAGTCTTGGAACCTCAGCTTCACGATCTGTCCTTCCAGTGAGCACTCAGGGCTGATTTCCTTCAGAATGGATCGGTTTGATCTTCTTGCAGTCTATGGGACTCTCAACAGTCTCTCCCAGCACCATAATTCAAAAGCATCAATTCTTTGGCGATCAGCCTTTTTTATGGTCCAGTGTTGGACAACTGTGACGTCTGCCTGGCTTCATCCTCCACCCTCACCTCCACCTTGTGAGTTTGTGCAGGAGGAGAGCCAAACCAAGGCAGGTCTAGAGCCTCAGGGCCTGGCCTGATCCTTTCACATTGCAGGAGGAAGAGACTGCAGATCCAGCCGTTGCCAAGCAATGCATTTGGACAAATGCCTGCAGGTGGATGGGATAAAGCCTCTAAAAGGAATTAAAAGATACCATGTGCCAAACAATAATGCACATTTTAACGATTGGAAAAGCTGACAAATAAGCAGATGCCATGACCCCAGCCGAACAAACAGATTATGGCACAGCAGCTGCCAAACAGCAGCTTTGAGTGGGGAAGGAGGTGTCTCCAGCACAAACTTGCATCAGGACCCATGGAATCAGAGCCGGCTCTGTCATTGGGCAGAGTGGAGCAGCTGCCTCTGACGGATGCCCAAGGACATGGGGAGGTGCAGTGATGGCAGCCCCTCCCTGTCAGAGGAAGTATGGCTTCCAGTGACAGTCGCTGGGAACCAGAAGTGGGGAGAATGGCTGTTGTAATCAGATTTTGTTTGCAGGCTTATAGAATCAAAGAACCACAGAGTTGGAAGAGTCATCTAGTCCAACCCCTGCAATGCAGGCTCTCAGCTAAAGTGCCCATGACAGATGTCCATCCATCCTCTGCTTCAATGCAATCTCCTTTACTGGCATAAAAAGAGTGCATTGTACACACGGATCCAAACACAACACTGGCAATGAGTCATCGAAAAGTACTGAATGAATGTATGATGGATAGGAAGTCATGTCAACACTCTGCAAGCAAATTTGGATGAATGCTTATTGTCAGAAGCGTATCGGAACAAAAATTCAATAAAGACCAGGCATACTCTAACCGTGCTAGCAAATCAGGATCAGTCCTGGATAAGCAGGCCATTTGGAGAAACTGAGTTATTTAAGAGGCACTAGTGAACGAGAGGGGACTGGCATTGCCCATTCACATGTCCCTGGAGGAGCCTTCAGTGAAACTACGCTAGCACCGAGGACCGTACTGGTTGGGTGCTTTTGATTTTTAATCCGTTCAAGAGTTTTAAGAAGGTGCCTATATACACGGAGCATAAGATGTTTCATGATATGTTGTATTTATGCTGTTGTATTTATTTATGTTGTATTTTATGCAACAAAATGCTTGTTTAACCTGGAGGTAGGCTGTATGAATTGTGTATTGCTTTGTAACGATTTGTTGGGTCTCTGGACCGTAATAAAGATTGATTGATTGATTGATTGATTGATTGATTGATTGTGTTCCACACTAGAGAGCCAGTGTGGTGTAGTGGTTAAGAGCGGTAGTCTCGTAATCTGGGGAACCGGGTTCGCATCTCCGCTCCTCCACATGCAGCTGCTGGGTGACCTTGGGCCAGTCACACTTCTCTGAAGTCTCTCAGCCCCACTCACCTCACAGAGTGTTTGTTGTGGGGGAGGAAGGGAAAGGAGATTGTTAGCCGCTTTGAGACTCCTGAAGGGGAGTGAAAGGCGGGATATCAAATCCAAACTCTTCTTCTTCTCCTCTTCTTTCATGCTGTTTTTAAGTTGCATTTTTAATCATTGTTTTATATTTGCTGTTAGTTGCCCTGAGCCTGGTTTTTAAACCGGGAAGGGCGGGGTATAAATAAAAAAATATTATTAATAATAATAATAGTAGGAGATACTTTAGGATAAAACTGTCCGGATGTTGTGAGATATAAAGGTGGCTCTTAGGACCTTTGATGATATAGTAATGTCATTCCTACAGTTATTCAACAGAAAGGACACCCTGGAAGAGTTGGTGCGATGGATCCCCTCCTACAATGAGGGGTCCAAACGCTTATCGTATGTTTTTGCATAAAATGGGCAATAAAATAAAAAATGTTTTGATTTGACCACAAGGGCAGTATCTTTCAGAACATGCAATCCAATCTCTGCTTCAAATCTCAAAGCTCTCCTTAAAAACCTTCAAGGAAGGAGAGTCCCCAACCTGCCATGGGTGTCTGTTCCACTGTCAAACAGCTCTTACCATCAGAAAGTTCTTCCTGATGTTGAGTTGGAATCTCTTTTCTTGTAACTCAAAGCCATTGATTCAAGTCCTACCCTCTAGAGCAGGAGAAAACTAGCTTGCACCCTCTTCCATGTGACAGCCCTTGAGATATTTGAAGATGGTATCTCAGTCTCCTCTTCTCCAGCTCCTTCAGCCGCGCCTCATAAGGC